AATTTCTTTTCTGAAGCATTTTTCTTCTATTGGCTATGAAAAATTCGTGAAGGAAAATCAGATTCTTCCTCCTGGTAAGAAAGATTCATATTTTTTTTCATTCAATTAATGCAGAATTTTTCATTGATTTTGCTTTCTCCATTTGATTGCATCTGTTCAATTCTAGGGTTTTGCAGTTTCGCTTTTGTCTTTTGACCTTCATCTTCTCTATTCCGGTTCGAAATGCTTCAACACCAGATAGTGCAATCTCCGGCGAGGCTCGGCCTCACCAATCCCAATTCTCCCTCTCTTCAGACCTCTACTCCTCCCAGATTCCCATCTTCTCAACAACCATCGCAACAGCAGCAGCAGCAGCAGCCGTCTCAGCACCCCATCCACCCCAATCTCTCCGCCCCTGCCGCCTCCTCCAATCTCCTCTCCTATCTCCCTCCACTCCCCAGAGCTCAAGTTCTACTCCTTCAAATGGCTTCTTTAGTCTCTAAACTCTTCGAAGTCTCCCCTAATCGGTCCCTCTGGCTCTCCGCCCTCCGAGGTTCTTTCCCGACTTTCCTCTCTTCGCAAATCCAATCACACCCACCACCCGCACTTGAATCTACTCCCACTTCCACCAAAGAAGTCATTGCCTTGTTTACTTCCCTTCAAACCCATCTCTTCGAAGCTGTTGCCCAACTCCAGGAAATCCTTGATCTACAGGATTCCAAGCAGAAATTTGCCCGGGAAATTAAGTCTAAAGATGCTTCACTTCTTTCTTTTGCTAATAAACTGAAAGAGACAGAACGGATTCTTGATATGCTTGCTGATGATTATTCTGATTATCGGCGGCCTAAGAGATTGAAACCGGATGAGGATGGTGTGGACGATGATGATTCGTCTTCTTCTACTAGTACCACTACTGTTGCGTCTCAATTGAAGTTGTCAGATATTTTGTCATATGCTCACAGGATTAGTTATACCACTTTTGCACCGCCAGAGTTTGGTGCTGGACAGGCCCCTCTTCGTGGGGCACTCCCACCTGCCCCTCAGGAAGAGCAAATGCGTGCTTCTCAGCTATACAACTTTGCTGATCTCGATGTTGGTTTGCCTAAAACGGATAAGGCTAAGGAGAAAACTATTGAGCCGTTCATGGAGCCGCCACCTCCAGTGGATGCTGACCCATTTTCACAATTGAAGGCCGCTCTTAAAGTCCCCCCAGGCTGGAAACCTGGGATGCCTGTGGATTTGCTGGATTTGCCATTACCATCATCACTACCCCCGTTGGAGTCTTTGCCTGTGCGACCTACTCCACCTCCAGTATTGCAGAGGCCACCTGAAACCATTCAAGTTAGACATGTTGACCTGGAAATTGGGGATACTGATGATGACAGCAGTGACTATAGTGGTGATGAGTCAAGCTCCGATTGATAGGGGAATTGTTTGGATCTTTGATAGTTTGAAACTCAAGTTAGTGCACTAGCAGATGGCAAATCATTACTTTTCGAAGAAAAGAGGTAGTTTGAGTTCCATTTGATGCTTTCTTTTATCTCAGATAATAAATGATGCACTGCATTGGATGTATGAGTAATCTCATTGCATTCAACATACATTACTTTTAACAGTAATCTCACTGCATTCCTTGGCCTGACCAACATGTAGTCCTTTAACGGTAATCTTATTGCATTCCTTGAAATGTAAGTGTTTCCTTTGATGTTTCTTAATGGAAATTCGAAAGTTACGTTTCTTGACTCATCACATTCGGTAGAGTGTTGCCAAATGCATATAAATAGTGGATGATGATAGGGTAGGAAAGCAACTATTTTTCAGTTCTTAGGCATCAAAATTTTTGCCTGCAGAGGTTGTTGGGATCTATCAGTGTTTGAGTTTGTTTTGATATTATTATGAGTTTAGTGCTAGGAGTCTATGATAGTTCATAGTTGCTTATGCTAAGAACTTTGTTAGCAGATTGAAATCATGGTAGCAGTATTCACACCACTGATATTTCAAAAAGAAAAAGAACAGAGATATACCTAAACCAGAGAAGTGAATATGTATGTAGGATACCATGCCTCAATGACTGAAATGAATAAGGGATACACTAAACGTGATTTTTGTTAAACTTAATAAACGGGTCATGTGTCAGATGATACTTCATTATGATTCAATTGTTGCAGTTTGATTGGCATTCAAAGGTGTAATCGGCTCTCTTTAAAGGGCAGCAACATGGTTCCTTGACAGTTTTGGAAGAGTTTCTTGAATAAAATGTTATGTCTCAAGAAAATAGTATAGAACTGCAACTTAAGTAACTCTAGTGGAACACATTGCGGAACAAGATAAGAAAAATGGATTCTGAATTCTGAAATCAACCGATGTTCCATTAATGGTAATTAGGGAGGTACGACTGCACATTGAATATTTTGATTTAGCTGAGATTGTTGATAATTGTTCTAGAATAATGTCTATACGTGTAGTCTTTTGTCATTTTTTCAGTGAAAGGTGATCAGCAATTGGTTGAAATACAAATGTGATTGTTTTACTAGAATATAGCTACACTTGCAAAAGCACAAGTTAGGATAATACCATAGCCGCAAATTGCATTGTTTCATAATACATAAACTCATTCAGTAAGACTCATGAAACTCTAAGGATGACCTCTGTTTCCAATTACTCCAAGGTTCCACTTGTTCTCAAAAAACAGGACTAATACATATCCCCATGTATGATATTCTACCACTCCATTGGTATAGGCTTTTCACACATATTTGTGGTTTGAGTTGTAGATGAGAACATATTCCAAAATTATCAGTTCCTTACACATCAGTCCAGTGGCACGCTAACTACCTGTTGGTCTGTGTTGATGGAGTTTGGTTCTTCTTAAACAAGATTTCGAGTTCAAGTTTTGTAAATGAAAAAACAGGCATTGGTAGAGCTTCTTTTTTATTAGTATTTGATGCGACTCGATTCTGAATTAATTGAGACTCAATATGGTTATCGAATATCAAAAATTTAATTATAAAAAAAAAAAAAGCCCAATGGCATGTCACTGCCTTTGATGGAGTTTTTGTTTATTAAAACATTCATTAAAAAATTATTTTTAAATTAAATTGAGAATAAACACTATTTTTGTTCCAAAATTAATTTCTTTTTAAAGATATGG